CCTTTCAAATTAAACAGGCTAACTGTGAATAGACTATTCATACAACGATATCTTTGAGATCTTTAAAGAATGGTTCGGAAAGCATGCTGGAGGGAGAGTCAGGGTCATGTGATCTAAATGGCTTTATACAAACCAGCTGGCAGCACACTGGGGTGTACATTGTTGGCAGGAGTGTCCATTGAATTAATACACCGTGTCACCTTAAATAACTCATCCTGAGTGACAGAGCTGAACTAGCTCTAAATGTCCTGGCTAACTCTCAGGAAGGAGCTAAACCCCTTTAGTTTAAATTAAACTGGAGTAACAGTCTCTTTAACCCTTTTCTTTTACTAGTAATTAATTTTTCAAAATACCGGCAGTTAAAACTAGGATTGATTTCTGCACACTGTGATCTGATACCAAGGTTCAATCAGTGCCAGAGTACCAATTAAAAATTCATGTTACTGTCGCGCGGAAAAGAAGCCTCTTTCTGACATTCATGGCAATTATTGCTTTCCTGCTTTGAGAGAAAAAACTCTACACTGTGACTTGTGTCCTCATCGATGACCTTTAACATTTTCGAAAGGACTCGCTCATCTACAATGGTCGTTTTGCAAAGCCTGGACTTTTAAAAGCAGCTTTTACTTTTTAATATTTAACCCTAAATGTCAACTACAAAGCATTTGGCTAATATGTCCTCTCTCTCAAGCTCACTGAAAACATGAGCAACATCATCAGATAAGTATTTCACTCACAATTGCAGTTAAATTCATAAAAGAGTTGTGTCTGGTGAACAACAAAGTTGATTAAATATTGATAAAATTGCTTTGTCTGCAGCCCAGAGTTCATTCACATTGAATATATCTCCAGTACATAGTGTAACCGAATGAAGAATAATAACAAAACACAGGCCAATACATTATTTTAAAGATTTTATATGCATATATCAGAGATTAAAAATCGATAAATTATCTTTCTGACATTTTAGAAGCAAATAATCTTAAAAGCTTCTAATCTCACAAAGAGGCAGCAGGAAATATGAAAATATACTTGTCAACTAGTAACATTTCAGATGAAAAATTTGAACAACCATGTCATAATATACATCACCACATTAAGATGAACCAATACGCAGTACTCTACATATTGCTGTTTTCTAATGGCTTTCTTTGAGGTCTTTCTGTGTAAAATATCAGTTCATGTACGTTATAAAAAAATGCATTTCTGCAAAATGCCAAGTCTCTATCCTACCAGTGATGGTAGGATGACCAGTGAGGATTTTTTTTTGTGAACGGTAGCCTTCAGATTAAACAGTTCCTCAATACCACCTGAAGCAACATGTGCCAACCCTGGACCTGACACAGCTGTGCAAACGGAACATTTCTAAAGTTGCTTTATTTGCATAACATGTCAGCGTAGTGAACTGGAAGCACATGCAAGGAAATTTTTAAAGGCATCTCCACCTTTTCAATGAAACTCTGGGATACTTTGCTAAAACCCACACTAGGATATGATGCAGATCGTAAAGAGCCTTATGCTGAATAATTAGACGCGGTTTATGTCACCCAGTCAATAAGTAATCATTATTACATAGTTACATTCGGAACATTAGGATATGTATTTGACGTGCCCGATTTTAAAACACGAACACAGTCTGGCCCCTTTATTCACGTGTCGATATAACACAACAGAGGAGCATACTGTATAAAGGACACAGAGAAAGGCGAACGTATCTCATTGAGCAGTTGAGAGTTTAGCAAAAGCTCGATATGCTCTTTCCTAAAACTTCGCAATCGTTGCGCCTTTATTGCATTAGGTTTGTATGCGAATTTCTCCCATCCCGTCATTTACAGAATGGAGTTTGATGGGGCTGGTTCCGTAAAACCAGCTTTTTGTTAGCATCCGTCTTCCAAAAATCAACAGCACGTTTCACTAAGTGCTATTTTTATGAAATGAGGGAAATACGATTATTGTTACAGGACTTTGGGCAGGAGATAACAGGAAATTTGAAATTCGCCGTGCCTGTAACTTCAGAAGAATGACGCTGAGGTCTAAGAGACTTGCCAAGTACTTATTACAGCATGTATCGAGGGGTTCCTAGATACTGCACCATCAGCCCGTATACTGTATGTGTATGCACGCAGTGTTTCTACAGCATGTGTGCGTGAGAGGGAGACACTCAGTGACTTAAACACTGAGTAAAAAACGCAATTTAATGATTATGCATTTACCTATTATGGAGTAGACGTCCCGTCCCGTAGTCTCCCCAACGGGCGGAGTCATTTGTTTTTACAAAAAACACAAGTCCACAAAAATAACAGAAGCATAGGGGTAACGTCATTACCACACTCCCGCAGTTTGGCTTCATTTACATCGTAAGGCTTTTCTGCTGTCACCGTGCTTTTGTTCCAAGCTATTTTATTGTCTTCACTACTGCAGTACTAATATAACTGCTGCACTTCACGATCCACCCACTTTTCTAAAGCTGCAACTTCAACATAATGGGTTGAATCGCCCACAGATAAGAAGCGCATTGTGAAAATCTCTAAGAATACAGCGTGACTATCAGCCAAATTAAGAGTTATAATAAACGATTAAAATCTCTTACCTATACCCTCGGTCCTATTTTCTGTTCTCCTATTAGGATGCGCCAGGCTTTTTCTGCATCAGCACCAAGAACAACAGGAACTCCCACCTGCTTAGGGACCGTCTGTAAACTCAATAGCAGAGTCGAAGTAAGGGATCACCCACAAGAGCCCAGTTTTCAAAATGCGACGCCGCAGTTACGAGGCGACTCCTCAAATCATTCGCCGTATTTAGAACAGGAACTGCGTTATTCATTTCTGGAATTTCAGTGAGCTCTAATATCTCAAGTGGGAATTCGAATAACAACTGATATATAGTTATAAACATTTTACATCGTGACCGAGGATTTTAAAAACACCGTTGCAATAGTTGTGCGAAAGCAATAGCAATTCCATCATTTAATATATTCTTATTGCAGACATACTGGATACATCACTGGAAACACAGAGGCTGGTCATTAACTCGACTCAACGTGTTCGGCAGGTAAAGGTAAGAGTGACTAATTTTAAAATAAATGGGTTGAGCTGTGATGCTGGGATTCTGGCATAGACTTCACAAATAAAGCCTGACACCTGCTGGCCGAAATGTAATTTCCTGCAGTATCCGACAGAGATGGAGAGGCGGACAAGAGCCGTACCCAAGACTCGTATGGTCATTTATTAAATAATTTGGACAAAATCAATAAACAGAAAAAAAAATCTCTCATATTAAACTATCTTAAAGGGGAAACATTTGAACAAGGTCGTATTATTTGAAGGATTGAGATCAAATCTGGTAAAAACGATCATCTTACAGTGAATAAAACGGGGCGGAAAAAATGACGTAGGCTTCACAGCAGGTTTTGATCGGGGTTTCCTGTACCTCGTACTTTGAGTTGCCTAGTACTGGAGCCGACCAAGGCGATCAAGACTCCCAATTAAGAGTCCAGCGTCCAGACCAGCAGGCGGTGCTAGACATTTCGCCGACAGCGCGGTTGAGGCAGAGAGGAAAAGCTTGGGTCTTCTTGACGCCACGTAATCTCTTTGTGTTGAATGAGCTCGCTGCTCGTCAGTGTCGCCGAGCGCTGGTGCTGAAAGGACAGCTCCGCCGCACAGAAGCCGACTGAAGGTGAAGGTCCTTTCTAAAGTTTCGGGTTAGACTCTATTTTGAAGCGAGATGCTCGTTCGGCATTCCCCTCGTGAGCTTCTGTATGTCAAATGTTGCACATTACGGTGTTTCGTTATTACTGATGTACATATGCGCTGCGGTAACCTTGCACAACACGAAACCGGCGTTAGAAAGAAGATATCTTTTTAAAAACAGAGTCCGTGCTCTATTTCTGGCTAACGGCTATGGAAACAATTAAGACTGAGATGGAGTAAACAGCAGTAATGGACAAAACGCATTCGGTTGCTTTCAGTACAATTGTTAATTAAACGTACAGTATGTATAAGCAGGTAATTGCTAAAATAAGGAGTTACTCTTCTTTATATTCTAGATACAATTTTTCCACTTGATGCGGGGTATCCGTTTATTACAACAAAACATTTTATTGCCGAAAAAGGAATTTAATTTTTAATGAACGCTTGTGCAGTATGTTTATGAGATATGTGATTTCTGGGTCTGCCAATGATCTTGGAGTCACTGTTTTTGCTTTGATAATTAAAACAATCGAAAAATGACCACTATACGGCTTCACCTGACATATATTTTCTTTCTCTCCAGATATTAATGCGAATATGTTCCTTCTGAATTAAATTGGTTCAAAACATGTCTGCACGCTGGGCTGAGTTTTCTTTACAAGCATCATTGTCGTGACTACTTGAAATCATTCGTTTACTGTATCAGATACTTCATTTAAACAACACATTTTTATCCTTTAATATACACAATATTCAATATGTATAAAAGAAATGTTAATTAACAGACATTTAAATATATCATGCAGAGTTATAACATGTCTACTTCTTACTGGAAACACCTTTCAGGGCTATGTAGTCACTGTAACCCTCTAGTATTTATGGTTAATGCTCATTTCAGTAATCCGTTACCAGTGCGATAAAATTGTATAATAGCAGCTTTGACTTCATATAAGCGTTACGTACATACGTTTAGATGTACCGATTAATACTGTTAAGTCCTAATTACTGTACACATTCCCTAGATTATCTATCACACTAGATACCTTGTACAGTGCCTGCCTACAAAGCAAAATGCAATTGTTCCACAAATACCATTGATATCACTTTGTCTGAAAAAACAAACAAACAAACAGTGCTGCACCTACGGGGCTTTGCAATAAGCAAACTCTTTACACTCTTAGACATTCGTATATTTCTATCTGAAAGTCTGGACTTTCAGAGAGAGAAGGACAATAATTGGGAGGTCACTGCATGGTCTGTCACACTAGGCACTTCAAGACAAAGCATCTCTGATGCCCACATTCAAAAATCACAATGGGGTCTCAATGTCTGACACAGTGCCCGTATATTTCTAAGATGCATTATTTGAGGAGGTTTTTCAAGTAGGTACACCCGAAGAAGGCTCCACAGTCGAGACGTTGTGTTTCCTTTCTTCGCTTTTCAGCAGGGAATAAACCTGGACTCGTTCCTTATTTTGAGGAGGTTCACCGGTGTATGCCTTAATTACTAGCGCCACGTCTTTATTTTTTCCCCCGGTAGGAATGTATTTCAAGATGCTGAAACTGAAGCTCCTCAATACCATTGCTCCTGCCTACTTCTTCACAGCCACGGTGGTCACGTTCGCCCTGCACTTTTATTTCTTCATACCGACCATTTTTGACAGACCCGGGGCCCGCCCCAGCGCATCCACGCTGCTCCACGCCGCCATCTTCCTCTTCCTAATGCTGAACGCGCTGGGCAACTACGTCATGACCATCCGCTATCCGGCAGAAAGCGCCAACGAGAGCGTGGTGCCCGTGTGTTCGCCCGACTGCCCGGATCGGGTGGATGCCCATTACCTCCTCAACGATCGACACTTTTGCAAGCTCTGTAAAAAAGTGATCTTGAAAAGAGACCACCACTGCTTTTTCACAGGGAACTGCATTGGAAACAAGAACATGCGGTACTTCATTATGTTTTGCATCTACACCTCAGGGACCTGTTTGTACTCTTTGGTGCTGGGTGTGGCATACCTGACTGTGGAATATTCTATTTCTTTCGAGAATCCTTTGACCTTCCTCACCCTTTTGCCTCTTTCCATTGGTTACTTTTTCTTAGGTGGGTTCTACATGGTGCTTATTTACTTATCATGTCAGTTGGTCAAGACTTACTCTTTTTTAAAGTATCATAGAGTAGATCTTTGATATCATATCTATATGATATCTTTGATATCATATAGACGAGCTTAGAATTGGAGAACAGATGCTGACCTCCTATAGAGCCTAAAAGTTTCTAAAACAATGCTTTAAACTCAGGGCTAAAAATAAGATAGAGGATCTTCACCACAAGCACAGAGACAACGTATACTGTAGCATCCTAAGCATACTGTAGGATGAACTACTAATAGATGACTGTATTTTTTTGACTGAAACAGAAAAGCGTGTTTTTATAAGGTACAATACAGTACACATAGAAAATATTTTTACAGGGCAAAAGTTCTTCTGCTGATCATGAAGAAATGTAGTTTTGGTGCACTAAACTTACGCTCACAAGAGTTTTTAAACCAGAGATTTGTGGCACTACAGTTGGAGGACTTTTGTCCGAAACATCTTCAAACCCATGATTTAAATGTATTTTTTCTAAATCTTGCATAAATATTTAGGAACATAAAATATTTCCTTTACAATCACAGCCTGTGTTATGAACACAGGTTTGTGTTTCTCAATTTAAAAGTCTAAAAAGCTGAGGTTACTGCTGGAAGTGGTGTTAGTGCGGCCAGTAGGGGGCGCTCACCCTGCGGTCTGTGTGGATCCTAATGCCCCAGTATAGTGACAGGGACACTATACTGTAAAAAAGCACCGTCCTTGGGATAACATGTAAAACTGAGGTCCCGACTCTCTGTGGACATTAAAATCCCAGGGTGTTTTTCGAAAAGAGTAGAAGTTTTACCCCGGCATCCTGGCCATATTTCCCCCTGGCCTTTACCAGTCATGACCCCCTTATAATCCCCCTCTCTGAACTGGCTTCATCACTCTGCTCTCCTCCCCACTGAGAGCTGGTGTGTGGTGAGCGTTCTGGCGCACTATGGCTGCCGTCGCATCATCCAGGTGGGGCTGCACACTGGTGGTGGTGGAGGGGAGTCCCCATTACCTGTAAAGAGCTTGGAGTGGAGTGTCCAGAAAAGTACTATTTAAGTGTAAGGAATTATTATTCTCACCTGAAAGAATCGGGGTGGAGGGGTGGGTGTCTGTTTGGCGCTACGAAGCGGGAGCCGTGTCCCGGAGCCTGACCCGCGCTGGTTTTCCTGTGTCGCAGGTGCGGTCTCCGGCCTGCAGTTCTTCCTCGTCCTCATGCTGTACGTGTGGCTGGGCATCGGCCTGACCTGCGCGGGGTTCTGCTGCCAGCAGGTCCTGCTGGTGGCGCGGGGGCAGACCTGGTGCCAGGTGTGGAAGGGGCACCTGGTGGAAGCGCGCAGCTCCTGGAGGGCCAACCTGAGCGACGTCTTTGGGTCACGCTGGGTGCTGGGGCTCTTCGTGCCCGTGCAGACTGTGGAGGCCCAGCTGGCTGACGAGAAAAAGCACGAGTGAGGATGGGCGCCGCACGCTGTTGTGGTGGGTCTGTGTCCCATGTCCCTCTTTCACATGCTCTGAGAACGTGTTCTGGATAAACCCAGCACTGCTGTATAAAACAGTTCACAATCGATTTGATTTTTGTCTTTTGCTGACAGTAAATCCACATGGGCTTTGTTGTGCAACTATTTTAGTATATAAAAATATCACTTTGTTCTAATTGATTGGAACGCCAGCTTATTGTCATAGCTTTATTTTTAATTTCTCATGTTGCGGTTATATTATATGACTCAAAATCAAGGCTTATGGTGAAGAGAGGAGAAAATGCTACAGCTGCCATACCATCAGTACAATTCTGCCAAATACACTCAGCACAGTGAAGAATTCCTTATATACTTGGCTTCCCTCCACAAGTAGCATAGCCTCTTGTAATGGTTTATGCAGAAATCCTTTAAAACTATGCACTGAAGTCATTATTAGCGTTTTTTATTTTTCTGGAGAGTATGGGTGAGTAGTATTTCTGGTATGGTATGATAACAAGAAGACAACAATACTCTTGAAAACATGCTCATTTTCTCTCTCTCCTTGCAAACAGGAGGCAATGAATGTTTGTACTGATGCAGAACATTCAGTGATGATATGCAGTGTTGGCACAGCCTAAAGTGCAGAATGAAGGAGGTTATAAAACTCTCAGTGCTGATAGCATTGCTCTGTTGAATAACACTGAGCATAACACAGTAGCATGGCATGGTACACTCAGCAAGGATGGTGGTTATAATCGACCGTGTCATATGTTTATATTAAGCACTTTAAGGTGATTGGTTTTAAAGGATCTATATAAATAAGGTTTATTATTCTTAAAATTAATTGAAGTGTATATCTTTTTGTCCATTGATATTTAAATGTTATTGTTTTAACAATGTTTCTTTCAGCATTTCTAACTACAGATCCTCTTTGAAACAGGCATGAACAGACTATCTTCCTTCCAGCAAGGGTATCACCAGTGCTTCCATTCCTGTTGTGTGCTGGGGTGGTACGAACCCAGGGGAATGTTGTCATCTTCCAGCCCTAAACTTTTGAGACAATCACTAATGCATTGCAGTCTACCAATGCCTCACAATTTCCCACCTCAGAAAAAATTGTAACTGTAAAATAAGAAACATAAACATGCACAGCAACAATGAAGGATATGTATGCACAGAACTGAGCGTTGAAGGCAGTGTTACTATAGAGTGGCTCAAGCACATTCAATTTGCCTGTATTCAGCACTATTTCCCAAATAGTTTATCAGTAGAAGGTTCTCTCTGGCAGAAAATAGGAGTTCATCCACACTATTGGTGTTGTCTGTGAAAAAGACTAAATTTGCATTGAATTCAGGAATTACTAGTTTTCCTTTGGTGTTCATCTTAAAGCAGAAGGGCTACTCACTACTCTCTTACGAGGTTATAAAATTAAGACTGGAAATCACAGGAAACCAAGTATATACTGAACATAAAAAACATAAAGAACCTTAACGACCTAAAACAACAGCACAATAAAGTTTTCAGGAAGATGTCAGTCGTTTTTCTAGCAGATGAACTGACATTTGATAACAGACATGACACAGGGGAATTCATTATACTGATTATCATTTGTCATCACCAACAGTGTTTGACGCTCAACGATCGACGAGCAACTGGGAAAGTTACAGGCTAGCACCACTGTTGGAAGCAATACATCTACAATGCATGCTTTACACCAGGTTGCAGGACAGCATAATTGTCAACTTCGCAGATTGCAAAAAAGCGATTGTTACATGACCTGCGTGAGGATGTGTTGTCTTGCTGGAATATCATCATGTTGGGATAACAAGGCTCCAGGGAGGGCAGCAGTGAGGTCCCAAGACTAGATCAGTGGAGCGCTATGCAGTCAAGGTTCCGTCAATCGATAAAGGCATTCTGTTGTTAAAATGTGAGGCATATTGGTTTCCTTCTGCATTTTTAATTCTTGTTTTTACCAGGCTTAACATTCCACAGACTAAATCATCTGTGTCCAATCAACTCTCTCACTAATGAAGTGATTAAGGGTTTTGCCAGCAGTCAAAAGCCACTCAGCTATCATCGTCAGACATGAAAGTTCAGTTTACCAAAACATTTGATCAATATCCATGATCCACATCCTTTTTCGAAAAGCATGCATCCATAAACATAATGATACATTTATTTAAATGCTCTGTATATGATAAAATGTGCAGTTTTGCGATAGTAACCTTATCTTCAAGACACAGTGCATATAGCTGAACTTTTATTGATGGGAACTATTACAAAACATAAAACCCTCGAGAGGATTTTCATTATCATGCATTTATGTTCAAGTGTTGCTCTTTGTCTGTAGCAAAACCATTGTGAAATACGAGTTGGATTAGCAAGGGATGTCTGTGAAGTGCTTGCTTTTTAGTCAAGAAAATATTTTTTAAAGATTTTATCCCAGATTTCTGCCAAAGTAAAGACGTTTATAATCACACATTTCTCTACTTTAAGAATTGGTGTAATATTATAACTTTTTAAGAATTTCAAACAATCTAAGAACCTTTTCTTAGTCAAGTATTATTAAAAATAGTTCAGAGTCCTTTCATTTTTTTAATTAAATACATAAGAATTATGGACAATGCCAAAAGTAATCATGGACAACAAATCAAATGTGAATATGAAACCAAAATGTGCCAAGAAATTAGGAAATATGCTTCTACAAATTTACCATGTGTACAGTATAGAATAATACTTTGTGTCATAGTTTGTATCATAGAGGATGGTTTGTCAACTGTCTTTGTTAAACTTGAAATAGTTTTTAAATCTTCCAGAATTAGAAAAGTTTTTAAGATATATTTTTCAAAGACATTGGGTGGTGTCATATGATAGTATTGTGTTCTCTGTAATTTTAACTAAAGCTGATAAGTACATTAAAAAAATTAAAACATCTTTAAATCATGGTTTCAATGGTAGGACCCATCATTAAGCTAAGACTTCAGGAGTTAAAGATGATAAATATATTGGGAGACTGAGATAAGGGGTTAGGAAGGGCTTTGTGATGAAACTTTGTATTTTTGAAAAGCAAATCCTTTGTAGGCTATTATAATTGTCTCTCGTTGTACTTTATTCCTGTTGCAAAAATAAACTTAAAACATTGTCTTTGGTATTGATTAATCTCTTTCCAAATGAAAGGTAATTGGAAAAGATAAAACGTTTAACAATCAATAAACAGTTTAGTATTTTAGAAAGGGACACACCATTACCTTCTGAGTGGGATGTGTGATTAAGTTTAGACTTCACTCCTAAAGCTCTTTATAATACTTATTCTAAACAGTCAGGTAGTTTAGACCCAGGGAGTTCTTTTTGATAAAGGCAGGATTTTTTTTCCGGTAAAGCAAGGATTTAAGGAAACACCAGTCTTCTCGGCGGAGTAGCTGTGCTACAAAATTCTGAATAAACAACCTGTGCCAGAGGTCCTGGAAGACAATATTTCTATGTAAACTTGAAACTCACAGAAAACTGCAAATGATGTGAGTAGAGAATTTAAGGAAGGTTTCGACTTGCTTGCTCAATTGCGACAGAAGCAGTAATCGAGGGTTGATATATCGAGGCTATAAGCCATGGTGAGGTAATAAGAGCAGCCCCACAGTGCAAGCAAATGATGGAACAGCCACAGCACAAGATTGTTGTAGCGGAGGAACACAGTCATACTTCTCACAGATTTCCAATAATCTGGTGCTGGTGGACCTGCCTGCATCAGAGGAAGGCTTAACTCGATTTCTGAAACTGATGCTACCAAATTGGATCCCGTGTTTTGACCGACTGTAAATTGTTAAAGCAATACAGACTATAGCACTGAAGCTAGCGATAAAAGTCTAACTTGTACAATACACCCATGTCCAATTTACTTAGTATGGTGACTGGGGAAGCTGCTGATCTGTTGTGTACTGGGGCTGCTGACACACAGTGGCTGCTGTGCATCACCAAGATGGGTGTTGCTCTTCAATGGGGCAAGATGTGGGTCTCCTTCTCTACATGGAGGAATCTGTGATCCTCATTCTCCTGTCAACTTAAAGTACGCCTAGTGATGTTTTTTTTCCTCATTAAAATTTCTGTCTTTTAATAATAATAGAGGGACACTTATTCTTCCATCCATCCAATAACAGAACACTGCCCCATTCCTAGAGAGGATCACAAAAACACAGCCTATCCTGGAAGCTTAGGGCATAATGCAGGACTACTGTATATACTGGACAGGATGCCAGCCACCAATTAACAAAGCATTTACTGATGAAGGTGGGAAGAGCGCAAGAGAAAATGTAAAAGAACACAAGGAGAACATGCTAGCTTCACACATAAAGAGCTTAATTGATGTCTGCTGAATGATGTTCAACTGATCCAGTTTTGCAATGCAATTCAGTATAACACTTTATTGGTGGGAAAAGTAGATTAAGCCCGCTGCTATACATGATGTGAGTACATCATAGATATAAGCTGACCCTGAGCAAGCAAGCTTGAAACGGTTGGTTTCAAGAACATTGGTGGCAAGGGATGTGCTTTTTAGTTTTCTGTTCAAGAGCTACGTTAAAGTGATTTATTAAAAACACAATTTTACTTTTCATTGCCTGTATTTGCATGTGAACTGTTTTGTATAGATATTTATCTTTTTAGAATGGAAGTCAACATAGAACTATTGTTTAGAAGAAAGTTTTAGAAAAACGATTTAGTTTATTAAGGAAACGTCAATGCAAACAATCTAATAAAAAAGTACAAAAAAGTGCACTTCAATAAACAAATGAAAGGTCATAAAAACAGGTATGTTTTTGTGGCATTTTCTGCCTTCTCTGAGGGTTGCATAGAGTAACATCATTACCTTCTGCAAATCTCTCAAGCATAATTACTAGACTTAATTTTGCTTTGGATAAAACAAATATTTGCCAATCATCTTTAGATCTTCAGAAGACAGCATTTTTAAAACCACAGAAACATATTCATAACACAGAAATGCATCATGAAATATTTGCTAACCCTTACAAAATCTATACATCTCCCAAATAATATTCACATTACTATACAGTATGTTGTACATCACAGATCTTTACAAGGGCTGAATTCAGGATTCCTAATTTTCATACAATGACATAAATCAGATGGAAAACGTTTGTGCGTGATGTTTTACTTTTATAAAAAAAAAATGCCATTGAGATACTGCGTACTCTTCCTGGCCAAACGTGGAGGCACAGTTTATATTCAGATACCAGTTTAAGATAATCAGCTGCTACTATTACACAATCACTTTCAGATTTAGGTTGTATGGAAGTTGCAGAGCTGCTAATCTACTTCAACAGAACAAACACTAGCGTACCAGGATACAGAAGAATACATTTAAGATAAGTGCTCTCCTTTAAAGAACATTCACAGCACTTGCTTTCCTTATTGTACTGTACATAAGCAGAGATGGAAAGTGGATAAGAATCAATATAAAAGACCGGGCAAGACATTTTTAATAGATTTCATGTTCACATCCCTAATTATAAATGACACTTGAAAACAAATTTTTTCATATGCTGAAAGGGCTTTCAGTTTCCTTTCAAAGATTTTCTCAAACTATTACAAGAGGCATGACACACAGTGATCTTTTACCCAGCATGGATGAGATTTCGATTTTTACAATCACCCTGGGATTTTCCACTATAAATAGGTAACTGACCTTATCTTGAGGGTACATTGTGTTAATATACAATATCATGTTCTAATAAAAGACAGTGGCAGATGAAGATAATCACATTATTTTGGACCTGCCAACACCCCAGTGAAGATGCAAATGATCAAAGCACTAAAAAACAAAGTTTTTAAGGTACTTTTAAGCTCCAAGTTCAACGTAACAGGAGTACAAAAATGAATTAATGTAAGCTTTAACACCCAAGGCATAACATGAAAACAAATATAATACACAACCTCATTAATTAATATTTCGTGCTGCAGTTAATTACAAAATGTACAGTGATGACCAATATAAAAAGAAGACAAATGTCACTGAGAAACAAAGAAATTAAGCAATGTGTTAATGCCTTGGAAGCGTGTGTTTAAACTGATAACAAATGGCATAGAAAGCATGCTGTTTAAATTTTTGCAAGAATAAGTGAGGTAGTTGATCTCAGGATTAAACAACATTAGTTCAAATATGATGTGTATTTTGAACAGTACAAGGCAAGACATTACAGGTGAATAAAAACGAATGCCTGTAAATGGCATTAAGAAGCTTCTTCTTAAAAATGCAGATGGACTTTTGCTATTTGACACAGTTTCCTGCAATCCAAACCAGCCGCCAAAACTCTAGATTCAACCTATGACACTTTGTTTTAACAAGCGTCTGCTTTTCACAATTATCAATGCAGCTCAGGACAGAAAGGGCATGATGGTCTCCAAAACATCATATGAACACAAAAATATCCTACCATGTACAGTATATACTGTATGACTGCAAGCATTTAAAATTGTCTAGCATGAAGGGTCCATTTCTAAATGTTGATCTAGGTTAACCCTCTAGGTTTCTAAATAAAGACCAAATAAAATGAAAATACAAAGTATCACAAAAAGCAAAGCAAACAAAAGGATCATTTACTTAAAAGATGGATGAAGTTATCTTAGATAAAATATACTAAGAATTCCGTATTGTCTATAAGAATAAGCATTAGCCTTCAGACAACTAGGAATGACAGCTGACAGGCTGTTTTCCGTTTTCTTTTATTTGCTTAGGTCTCTACAATAGAGACATTTTAATCTCAATGTGACAACCTGCTACAATTAATAGAATGAAAATTGTTCATATCAGTAACACAACAAGCTAAAAATGTGCCGTTGTTTGAGAGATCATCAGTCAAAACTCACCCCAGAGTGGAATACAATAAAATACTCCAATTCCAAATAATCATCAAATACTTAAAAAAAATCACAGTGTATTGAGGATTATAAATTGACAAAGCAGACATGAAAGGAATAAAATGATTTGAGATGGTGAAATAAGACATTAAAGTTTTTGTTTTTACAAATTTAAATTAAACTGATCAATGCATTCAGAGGTAAAGTGAAGCGGATATAATTTAACATTATATTCCCACTTTTTTTATTTTTATATCACTTCCACTTTTTTCAAAGAATCTAACCAATCTCAATGAGAGAGGTGTTATTTTAGTTCAGGATGATGTCAAAATACTGAATTGCAAACTTCGGAAAAATTCTGAAACGCAGACATTAGCAACACTGATAAGTAAAAGGAAAAATTTTTACTTTAAAAAACATCTTTAAAACAAAATAAACATAGTGCAGGCCAGAAGATTTTAACAAAAGCACAGCATGGTAAAAAAAAGTCCTATAACACAACACTCAGAGCATCAGGGTATAGATGTTTTAAGATACATTGACATTCTTAACGTCTTTCAGTTTCTTGTTTTTTTTTTTTGGAGGTGAAGCAAAAGCTGTATTAAATAAATAAATGAAGCAAATTCACATGCATCTTTTTAATATATACCCACAAAAATAAACTTAGGGTTACCATGGTACCACGCCACAATCTGATCTCCCAAAATGTTATTCTAGGAGAACACTAAATTAAACAACCAAGAGGCAGGTTCCTTACCTTTAGGCAACCAGACTTAAGCATTTAACAATGCATCACTGATCTCATCCTTTTCAAAAGAAGTAACACCGTCGCTTTTTTGCTGTAACGGTGTTTTTGCACAGACTGAACAGAATACACTTCCATTCAGGAACAAGGTACCACATTTTAGAATTAAAAAATACAGTGTATGAGGTGAAGGATGCCTTCAGGAAAAATAAAGTTTTTAGCAAATTCTGTTACTCACTGTCTTCATTTTGAATGCAAATGTAATATTTAACAAAAAAAATAAATCAACATAAGCACATTAGATTTGAATTAAAAATATATACATAAGACCCTGCTTTAAAAAGGATATATGGAAATATCTGCTTTTGCAAAACTTAACTCCATCAGTAACGTATGACAGATGGATGTACAAAGTTACTGCCAACAATACCTCAGCCAGTGGCAGAGTCTCAGTCTACAGTTATGCCATTTAAGTTCCCTCTTTTGCTTGAATGAGATAGACAAGTTATTCAATGCCTTCCACCTGCCAAAGGTGTATTTGACATGTTGCTAGATAAAGCCACTTGCACAATTTTACTACATCACAGCACTGGCGTACTCAGAACTACGAAGACAGCGCTGAGTATATCAGTGCTTTGGATGATAAGGTATCTGAGCAGCTGACATCCCAATGGTACATAAACATGATACATCAGTAACTCCTTGCGGTCCTTCCTAATTCTGTAGATCCCAAGACTGCAGGAAATGAATGGACTTCAAATGAGCATGGCACTATAAACTGACATTTCTAAAAGCAAACTCTGTTAGGAAGCCAAATATTTAATAGATATTATCCTATGCACTAAATTAAGTAATGGTATATTATTGCTATTTAAATATATCATAAAACGGTGCTATGTTTTTGTTAAATCAGTGTTCTATGTTTCTTTGTTTTTTAAAACTTGTTTAGCACATTTAAACATCACCAACTATCATATTCTTTCATACTAGCAGAGATCAGAGATGGCATTTAAAAAAAACTAGCGTAGAGACCCTAATAACATACAACCAAAACACGCCAAACCAATTCCGTTTACTAAATGCTACTAAGAATCCCCCTTACCAGAGCCAGCCAAATTAATGTTCAACATTTTCTACAAGCCCTTTTAACCCACCATGCCCTAAAAAGGAACGACTGTGACTAGTGTTCAGGGACTAACACAGCTACTTCATCTTCCTTTGGCTGACAAGATTCTGACAACTGTCCCTCACACTATTTGGAAAAAACCAAGCCGAAAATGACACGCTCAGTTGCTCAAGGTTCCAGAGTGACCAATAGAAAACAAATAAATAAAGGTGCTACAAGCTATCGTTCATTTTATTTTAAGGTGCGTTTAACTCTTACAAGATGCAAAGAAAGCCTCAGTCAGCACACCAGGGTATAGGCATCACAGATAAAAGCAACCAAACGCAGGCAAATTAGGCGAGGGGCTGCTCTGTCTCTCTACACCCTGGAGGGGCGTCCTCGAGCGCTCCTGCGTCTTAAGGTAGGGTCTGGATCTCTTTCTCGCCTCCATCCTCGGCCATAGAGGGCTCACATTCGAGCATGGCCAGCTGAAGCTTAGTCCAGACCTGAGGGTCTCCGCTCCGGATGGCTTCCACAAAGAGGTCGGCGTGCGCTTTCAGGCGGTCCAGCTCACTCTGCGTCTTCCGGTTCTGCCGGATCAGCTCCTTGGTCCTTAGCGTGATGCCCAGAAGGCCGGATTTGTGGAGGATGTTGTAGGTGTTACAGAAGCGCTTCCTCTTGTTCCTCTTCTCCAGCACGGAGCCCTTCTCTTCCGGGTCCGGGTCTGGGTCCGTGCGAGAGGGAGACGCGGCAGCAGGGGGGACAGGGGCCAGACCAGGTGAGCGTGCCGGCGGGGGTGCCTCCTGGGAGCTCGCAGGCGGCGTGGGCTGACCGCCCGATGAAGCGCTTTCCGTTTTGGAAAGAGAGGAGTGGTGCTTCCGAGTGCTGGGCTCGGGCGTCAGCGGCAGAGGGAGGCCGGATGGCGTGGGACTGGCTGTGCTGGACAGCCGACTCAGCTGTTTCTCCCTGCTGTGCCGCCGGTGTCTGAGTGCGCTGGCTCTGTCCACACGGGCGGAGGCCGAACCACTCCGCTCTGAAGAGCCAGAAGCACTCCTCTCTGAGGAGCTCTCCCCAGGGTGAGGGGCTATTTTGGGGTAGGATTTCAGGATGGGCAGGTACTTCTGCGATCGGCGCCTCTTGTCCTGGGGTCCCTTCTGCGTGTTTGTGATACCGTTAGAAATGACAGGCTGGAGGAACACAACCTGAGGCTGGGGAATCACTTCTATAGCTGGTTGAAAGCCCCAGGGCTTCACAGCAGGGGGGCAATTACTTGCCTGAAACCAGACAAATGTAGCAATCATTTAGCTATTTTTAACATGCAGATTACATAAAAAAAATATATTTACTAAACCTAAAGATATTTTGGGCACTACCACTAACCCTCCCTGTTGAACTGTGCACAATGCAAAAAGACTGATGATTTCTCCAATCAGATGATGGAAATTAGTTAGGAAAATTAGGAAAGAGAAATCACACTCACATAACAGGTTATGCTCCTTTGAATCATTAAAATGGATGATTCAAAGGAGCGATCAAAGGAGTGATCATCTTGTGTTACACAGACATCGGACACACAAACAGCAATAAATCTATATCACTGCCAAGTTAATGACGGTACAGATTATAAACTCTGAAAGAGCCAAACAGGGAGCTCCTCTGCACCTGTTTCAGAAGGACGTTGTTCATGATGATCATGGGAGAAAGGCCAGGGTAACCTCCCCCCATCACTGCCAGCTGTGGCAGCTGAGATTTAGACTTGATGCTCTGGGCTGAGGTTTTCTGTCCATCCTCAGCATCTGTCTGCTCCACCGCACTCAGATACTCAGAACTAGCATCTGGGAGTCAAACATATGGCAGGTCAGTCAGCGCTGCGAGCTGAGGGCAGGTAAAACAACTATATTAAATAAGGCAAAGTTCCTATCAGAAGGCATTACCATCTACTGCAGCAGTCAACTTAGAAGAGGAGAGGACCAACCAGTGGAACACTGTCAGCATTCTTTCAACTCCTGCCTGGTTGGTCCAAACCAGCATTTTTAAAAAAAGTACACTTCAAAGTAATACAAGACACTGTATCATGATAGCGGCTTCATTTGAAGCAGACGTTAACACAAAAACGAAACCATAATATAAGCTAAAACAAGCTGACACAAAGAAAAGGAGTCTGGCCATTTGGCACAGATTAGATTTGATCTGGAGCAGTCCTGCCTCCTGTGCAGGGCATTTGAGTGGGGAGCTGTATCAGCATGTGAGCTGCAGAGGAACAAGGTGTGATTAACTCGACAATGACAACCAAAAAAAATAGAAGGAAAAAGGTTTTGGCTGAGGAGACAGCAGAAATATGAGGAAAAGGGATGTCTGAGTCTATGGTTAACCCTAAGCTGGAATTGCACAATGTCCCAGCCGTCACCAACCACCTAACCTCTACCTTTCTCTCCTCTCCTTTACACCAGGACTTCAAATTCAGGAGAGTCTGGTCTCTTCTGGCTTTTGTTCCATTCTCAGTAGGAACAATCAGACAATTAACCCGCTTTTCTAAATTAAGAGGATAATATTATTCATAAGGTGTTTTGACAGCTGATTACACCATACAAGGGTACAGTTACACAGATATCACCTGGGAGCCTGGCTAGAAGTGTTACAAATGATGCAGCTGACGAAATAATCAGGCAACTATGCAAGTGAGAACGGAGGTGGAACAAAAACCAGATGATACCAGCATCCCCATAAAATGAGCTGTATCGCTCTGTTTTATCCATTCCTGCCTTCCTCGCCTCTCCTGGATTTCTGTGCCTCTCTTTCTCCCCCTCCTACCAACTCTTGTGTTTTCTTTAGCCCCCTCCATCCTTGAGCCCACATTCCTGCTCTCTTTTCCTCTCATAATAATAATAGTAATAATAATAATAATAATAATAATAATTGCTTACACTTACATAGCACTTTTCTGGGCACTCCACTCAAAGCGCTTTACAGGTAATGGGGATCCCCTCCACTACCACCAATGTGCAGCCCCACCTGGATGATGCTTTTTGTCCCCACTTTCCAGCACAGAACCCACATTTATTTCGTGCCATGCACATTCACAGATGTGAAGGGATTGTGACAGGAACAACAGCCATGAGTAGGCACACACCTGAGAATCCCGAGTCCCGCTCCGACTCATTCCTCCCCTTGTCTGGCTGCAGGTTTTTCAGCGTGTCCATCATGTCAGCATGCAGCCCCGCTGACAGCCTCCTGTGGCTTTCTGCTTTCCCTCTGTTACTCATGGCTGATCGGGCTCTCTGCGTTCAGCCAAGGAGCATCTCTCTCACTCGGGGGACTGTCTGTGGACCAAAGACAGGGGCGAACATCAGCAGGGAAGCATCGCAAGCAGACCTGTGTCAGCAGCAGGCGTAATGTCTCTTACATCCTTACAAAACACGTCCTCGGTCTTGTGTGCTAGCCGTGCGTCTTATCCTGACAAACTTTAATTGGGAGCCCCAAGGAAAGACGTCCAGTGTAGCACAGTAACTTGTCGAGTTCAGCCTTGAAGTCTGTAAATCATCCCCTGCATGCAGAAGCCTATGAATGGGGAAACAATGTTTTAATGCCGTGCAGTAGATCTGAAGAGTTTGGGAAAAGCAGAATAAGTATAATTCTCCAGATCTTTCATTCAATGTGCTGTACCAAGAAACACGTACGTTTCTCTATTATCTCATCCTAATTTTTAAGAGAAAAGGCAATTATGTGATGCTGTTAATCATAGTTAGTTATACAACTTCACCAGACACAACGCATTACAGCACTGAACAGAAAGCATTCCTCCTTACATACCAAAGCTAATGAATTCACAAAGGCCAACAGTGACGTCAGTAGCAAACTGCACCAGAGACAAAAACCAAACATCTCGGAAACTGGGGCAGACTGAATAAAGAATAAAGTATTTCTCTCTTACGATCTTCTTTGAACTAAATATTTTCAGCTGTGGCCACAGCGAAAAAAACCAATATAAATAGTAATGTGTTCTTCGTTTTCTCATAGACCGACAAGCAGTTTAATTTTAAGATAGCATTTATGACGTAGCTAGTATGAAAGTGGAAAATGATTCGGTTCCGAGAAGTGTAAAAGCCGGCCACACTAAAGGCCGTTTCACTCAGCACTGACTGTACAAAAACGAGAATGCATTTCGTTCATCAAATCACAATTTACACAATAAGTAAAAATAATCGCACTTATGCATGTTGCCATCCGACTCTCGCAGCGGCATATTAAACCCTTTGTAAAATAAAATTACGTCCCACGTTGACGAATACACTGCACGTACATACATCCCATACATCCCAGCGATGCAAGAACCAAAATATTATCGCAATACGATAGACACGCGAAGGCTGTAGAAGAGTCAAATGTTTTCTGCATTTGTTTAACGTCCTATTCAAGGGAGTCTGCTTGCTCCTTGCACAGATTCCAATCGTTTCGGCACGGCAGAAACTAACCCAAGATTTGCCTTATCTAGATTTCTTGCAGCCCGAGCTGTGACTGTAGCTTGCTGGCCTGTGACATAGTTCCTGATACACGACGCACGACACGCGACCAACACCACATCCCTCCGGATACACAAAGTCCCGCATAGATAGGTAAAGGTCATCGCCTACTTACTCACTGTCGGCAGCTCGCTTAAAAACGTTAACAGGTTAAAAAATAAACACCTTTTCTTCAAAACGCTGCTGAAGAAAACACAGCATCACGACGATAACAAGCTATAGACTCCTTCTTTTCTGTTTTGTTTACGACTCCATGAGTTCGTTTACGGCGGGATCCAGCAAGCGTTGCCAGGGGAGCGTTCGTGACGTCACTGTATTTTGCGGCGGAAAATCCCGCCCATTGTCCTTTTACGGCCCTCTAATTGGAGTTCGGTAATGGCATTGAGCCCAGAAACGTGACCCATAAAAAAAGTTTATGACTTGTACAACAGGCATTCAACTCTGACAGAAGTCCAAGAATGATAATGAAAGCATATCCACACAGTACTTGTGAAGTAAAAAAAAAATTACAAATTAAAAAACTTATCCTCCCTTGAGCAAGTCTTCCTGTGGGCTTCGGAAGCCTGGATGAAGCTCTTCCAAGAAGAGTGAGTTGTATTTATGAGTCATGCTAAAGAAATAGAGAGACCCCCGTGAAAGTTTCTTTCTGAGAACTGTAGCTTCAGCTTTGCATATTTCCAGTGGTTTTAACCCTAGGCGGATTTGTTCTGTTGCATTTTTTGTTTGGTGGACAGTTGGCTCTGTACAAGTAGAGTAAAATATATATATATATGTTTTTAAAAAATGACACACAATTAAAGGTTTCATAACAAAATGAGCAAAAGCAACATAGCCTCAAAAACACAGGTTCTTACTTAAAAGAAAATGTGAAGAGGGGAATGCCTTTTCATTCAAATTACTTTTAGAACAGAAAAGTTAAAAGTTAACTGGGAACAAAGCTTTGAACTTTAGATTTTCTCGCTGTAATTATTGTCTATTAGCTTGACCTTTTCATAGACTTTCATGCCAAGTACATGGTATTACTGGTGTCATATATACAGAGTAGGTATCACTAAACTCCCATTCCAAGGGAAAGTAATCTAGTAATCTCTCAGATTTAGCCACTAAACATTTGACAATCAGATACATTTACATTATAATAATAACAACCTTAATTTTATAAGCAATCTTCGATTGCTTTTCGATAAAACAATCTAACAAGAGAAACAGGCATGTACAAATTAAATTAAACAGAATGAAAAGCTAGAGTATAAATGTGATTTTTGAAAGTGCTGAATGCCTGGGGAGATCTCATGTGGACTGTCCTGGAGCATACGAATGGAAACCCCATTCTCCCAGAGTCTGGAGTTAGGTTTTAGGAACTGAAAGAAACCCAGAGTCCAACAAATGTGCTAGTGTGTAGGGAATTAACAGTTTGCTGCAATTATTAGAAGGTGTTCTATTTAAGCTCGTGAAAGTGAGCTTCAGTATTTTGAATCTGGTTCTGAGATCAACAGGGAACCAGTGCAAGGAACCTAACCAGGTGGTCCAGTTCATGCTCATGAATTTTACTTTTGGTTAAAGTCCCAGACACTGAGTTGTGAACATGTTCCAACTTTTTATGAGCATGTTTGGATAAACCCATAAGTAGTTCAGGTGGGTAGCTGCGTCAGCATGCGTAGGCTGCAAAGGAGCATTTTCAGCATGGAATAAACCTATTACTTGTTCCTTTACACCCATAAGTGCTGCTTTAGAATGATCAAGCCTGAAATACACTATATCTTTTCTGCAGCAGATTGGGAGAGATGTGTATAGCTAAATGCAAAGTCATGAAGATGAAGAGCCACTGAGGATGCAAGCTTTGAATTCAAATATCTATAGCGCGTTTCTAATCACAACTCTTAATATAGCGGACAGGGGACCCATCTCACCCACCACTGAATAACACTGAGCGAGACTTAACCAGAAGTGTCAGGAAGTTCAAGTATGGTCAGGTTCTGTTATTGATTATGAGTTTACTTTAGGCCCTGGGTGGTGGGCTCTGGTGACCACATCTCTGTATTGAACTAGGTGGTTATTGGAAATTAATGCACATACAGTATTTGCCTGAATTTGTGATTTAAAATGTTTCCAATGTCTTGACCAGGGCTTTATATAAGTAACATATATATAATGTATATGTGATATAATGTGGAAAGATTAAGGAAATCTGAAATAAAAACACAGATAACCCATGGGCTACCCCCTTTTATTTTCAGTTATATGAGCACACATTTCTATATTATCTTTGTACTGACAAGGATTTGAACACTCATTGGGTTAAATATAATGTATTATTTATTAACAGTAATACATTTATATATACAATGTACAGTATAAACACAGACTGATCCTGCATTGCTTTTATTTACAATAGAAATTAGATTTCAATACCATCCTTTTTAATGTGACAAAGCATACAGTATGTGGTTTTACATCAATCTTGGTATTGGTGTTTCTGCCTGCTGTGGTAAGACTCTTATTAATAAAATAAAAAGGTAAATTTAATGATTTACTGGTTGTTTAAAGCATTATAACATTTTATTTGCATTATTAGAAAATACCAATATTTTTCTAATAATCCACTGCTTTGGCAAGTCCCTTCAAATTGTCAAAAAGAACAGATACAAAGGCGTCAATAATTCCAGTTAAGAAATCTCACAACAGAATTATTAGAGGATGCTTTCCAAAAACAACTGTGATTTTGTTTGTTGTAAGAAGAGAATACAATAAAAATGAATCCTTGCTATTGTCGGTGCATGTTTTCTTATTAAAGCACAGACTAAATAATGAGTCCAGTACTTTAGACTCTTACAGTCTTTCACACAGCTTGTTCCTCTTTCACTGCACACCGCACCCTCCCTGATTGAATTAAATTAAAAACAAAGGAGGTGAAGTGATATAAGCCTTTTACTTGTTTGATTCAAGTGATCGCAGTACAAAATGGAAGGTCTCTGTACTGCATATCAACAGTGCTGAAGGTTTAGCTGTATCTGCAGCTTGCGATCCCTGGTAGGAACTTGTCGAAATCTGCCTGGCTGGGGTGAAACGAGCTGAGAACAGACCACAACACAGATGTCACCATTATCTCGTTAGGGAGGAGGGATGACACCTCGAAAATCGCCCAGCTCCGTGTGGCCGGTGAAGATCTGCTCTAACCCTGCTGGGATTGCTACACGTTCCATCAAAATCAGGCAGCGCCGATCTCCACTGCGTCACGACACCGGGTTTTCTTCCGCAAGAGAATCATACATCGTCTATTTATCTGGGTAGATGGCGTCACTTCCGTAACGGTGAACGTGTAGTGAGCTGTTACGTACTGTGGCAACCTTCGTCATCAAAATTGGTTTTGCCCATGTGACAAAAATGGAAGCATTTCAAACACAAGGAATGTTAATTTAGTCAGTTAAGCGCTCATCCTCTCCTTATATACTGAAAAAATAATACATGTCAAAAATCCTCATAAGGAATGTTGAGAGTGTTCCAGACTCCCCTTTCGTTTCACTTTTTACTTTCTGCATATTCTATGTGTATGACGTTCTACCTTTGCGTTTAGAAAAATATCCGCTTATTGTGCAAAATAATTAGCAGTTGATCTGGCCTCCCCAATTCAGATTGCCTGAATCTTCTTTGGGAATGGTCTTGGATAGGCTTTACATTAATTTTAATCACCTTTGTCATTACTCAGTGTTATCATTCATGATGATCCAGTAGTGCTGGCGAACATCATTTGAGCCATAAGCGATACTGGACTTGGGTGTTCCTCTGTTTTGGCCAAGTGTGTAACACAAGACTTTGTGGATGTTTTGAAACATAACAGTGAGGTTTCTCACAGGCAACAATGTTCTCATTTTTGGAATATATGTTTAGACAGATTGCTGTTCTCTTTTCTAAACGTCAGCATCCAGTGCCAAGAAAACTATTTTATTCCTGGGACATTTCATTATCTTGTCTTGGATTTCTCAGCTATTGTTTCTTTTATGATTGATTGTGCATTGTGGTGCCACTAGTAAGTCATGCACCAGTTTACAAAACCCTCATACATAAACAAGAAAGAAAGTTCTATAGTGGTTCTGCAATGATAACCGTTTTTAACGCAACCCCACTCGATCTCCCCCACATATGAACTCACGGACCTGGAGGAAATGAATTTCAAAGCATGATCTTGCTAGGATCTTTTGCAATCGATCTTTAACTAATATTGTAGATTAAGGAAGATCCAAAAAGTCGAAATGATACATTAGGCGAGCTATATGGCTTATTTTGACCAAAGATCAAGTAATGAAGTGTCCAAAAGAGAGTTTAATACTTGATGCTATAATACGTGGTTACCACTAGATGGAGACTGCCACCTATTGTAGCTGTGGAAATACCACGTGAAATCAATTACAACCTCAGAACGAAGTTTATCTCACCGGAAAAGCTTTTTAATGACTATTTGCCGAGTGGCTTAGTAACATTTCATAGTTCGGGCCATATGTGTGCTAATTCCGAAACAGTCATTTGTTTGTTTTCTTATATAAAATTAGTCGGTGTTTTTTCTTTTCTTTTCAGCATCTCATTCTACACTGTCTTTGTTCTGTCTGCTCCTGCTGTTCCGGAGAGGTTTTCTACGCAGTGGCTCAGTTTAACAGAATTTTTTTAAAAAAAGAAATCTGTGACTGCAGGGGAAAGGGTATGTGACAAACCTCCACTTTAACAGGGAGTCAGACAATAGCGTTGAAGGGATGATGGCGGCAGGACCAGCCACGCTCTGAAGCTGAGTTAGTGGGGTCATATTCTCGCAGTCCCGGACGTTGGACCCGATTGAACACTATCTTTCTTCTTGTGTCCAGGAAAAGGCTCGGTACAGAACGTGGATTACAATAGCAGGAGTTTTGTAATTGGTGTCTACTGCCTCTATTCATTGTAATAAATACTTGTGTCGTAAGAAAAAAAAAGAAAACGCGAGTCCTCCAAGTTGAGTCTTTAACCTTGAGCCTTTGTCCTTCATGGCGAAGTTTCCCTGCCCACCTGTCCTGCCAGGTGATGCCAGGGTTTCTCTTTCAGGTCTCGGCTGGCCTGGCTGACCCTCTGACTGCCTTGCTCCTGAGAGTCCCGCCCGTCACTGCGGGTCGCTCAAGCCCAGACGAAGAGCACGCAGTATCCCAAAAGTGCATAAAAGACTGCCAATGTTGTTAAGTCTGACTGGAGAAAAGAAATAAATACAGTGACGACAGCGGCTGCCGTTCGGTTACCTGCGAGGAGGCTGACACCTGTTGGGGGAGACAGGAGGACAAGAGGAAGTCGGTCAGGCGAATGACAAAGCCAAAGGAAGTCCCCTCACCAGTAACATCACCAGGTGTCCAGCTTCTGTCCTCTGGTTTGAAAGTGTCAATGCAATAGTGTGCCAACGTTTCCCCACAATCAGTGTCGTGCCTTACTGCACCTCTGCTTATCTCAATGCACTGTGCTTGGTTACAAATGGCACCATTTTTACAGTGCTATGCCACTGTTTCAGTTTTATTTATTCCTAAAATACATCAAATAAAATGTGGAGATGGTAGTGTAAAACCTTGTGTCTGTCTGATAGCAGAAGCACAGCCTCATGCCTTTAAGTGCCTTTAACAGATCGCCAACTCGATCTGCTGGCTTGGAAGGGACATGTCAGCCTCTCTAACAGCCCCGGTCTTAGCCATGTTAGCTGTTGGTGAAAAGGAGGGCCCTAGATGAGCCTTCTTTGGGACTTCCGTTAGGGTGGGAAGGCTACATTATAGTTTGCCATCTAGTCTCCTCTATATTAGAGACAGTTTATGTGCAGATTGCCCTACCATGCTACCAGTCAAGGGTGCGATGTGTTACAGTGCTTTAAAAACATTTCCTTGCATTTGTATAAAGCTCTTCATCCCAAAAGACCCTGAATCTGCTTTACAAATAGGAGGGGATCTGCCCCATCCACCACTGAATTGTTGCTCACATCTGAGTGAAGTGTGGCCGCCATTTCGCATTAGCACTTTTAACAACACAGAGCAGAGAAGGGGGAACTGGCTTCACTTAATGAATTAAAGGGGGAAATTAGGGGGGCCAGACTGATCCATCCCAAAGTGAAATTAATGCAGAGCAAAGGGAAACTTGTAGTCTTACAGTGCCAAGGGATCATCTAAGTAGTCACTTGGCACTACCTAGCAAAAACACTACTCCTAAATGTCAATCATGTAGGTTGAGCAATTTGAGACATTATTTGATAGCAGTGCCTGACCACACATGGACAAAATGGACACTCATAATCACATCTGCAGGATGCAAAAGGCCAAGAAATAATCGCAATTTGATGTTCTGAGCTACCCCTCTGTCACGGTGATATTTGTGCTTCAGCATCATGCTCTCCTGAAGCATGAGGGACAGGGTTCAGGCCCCCGTCACTAGGCTGGACTGATGCTGTGGGCCGGGACGGCAGGGACTGCGGTTTCAGGTTTCACGTGAGCATGAACTTACGTGTCGCAGTCTTTCGATTTCTGCTTTTCCTTTCTTTTCCTTCCCTTCCCCCTCTGTCTCCTCCTGAAGGAAAGCAAGAGCACAAAAATACAAGGGCCTGTTATGTCACCTTTTACAAAACACTGGCAGCAGAAGAGTGAAATAACCTCAATACTGCCTCTAGTAATAATAATAATAATAATTAATAATAATAATAATAATAATACCTTTCATTTCTTACAGTGATCTTCCTGAGTCTGGGGACAAGAACAGAACATATGCTTTTAATAACTCAGATTATTGTGATTTATATTCTTGTTACTGAAAGGGAACATAAAACAGCAAAAGAAACAAATGTTATTAAGCAACATATGTTACACTGAAAATGAGTGTCTAAGGGGGCACTGTAGATTTTGCGATGGCAATATGAACTTGAAATTTAGGAATGTAACCCTTCTATTGGTGAAAGGTAGAAGTTTCACATGATTACATTTGGAAAGAAGGCTTTAAAGGTCAAGAATGCCTCTAAAAGCACACATCACATGGAGGTGGTCCTGTGTGCTATTTTCCAACTCTTCAATTCCCCTTTTTGCTCATTTGAAGTATTACAGTGGATTGACCCCTTAGATTTTTTATAAGCAAGTTACAGTTAGCAGATCCAAAAACATTAATCCCCAAATCCTTATTGCCGGACTGGTGAGAGAGAGTTGTCATATAAACCAGACGTGTCATGTTTAAGTTAGTTTTATGGCCTTACTTCACAGGCAAAAGAGCAAACATGTTAGGTTGTTAATGAGGTTAAAAGTACGAAACGCATAGACACATAAACAAGATCTTTTTTTCTTACCTACATTCACATGTCTGGTGTTCAACAAAAGTCATTTCAACATACTCTCGGCTCTCAGATGGCTTAATTTTCAGGAGCTGATACAAAAGAGAAAGATGTCAGACATTTGTGTGGGTTCCTTAAATAAAACAGCAGAATGCTAAGCCCCCATTCACTCAGATACTGTAGGCTCTGTTGAAAACAAAATAAAAGTCGAGCCTGGCTTTATTAATATAGGAGTATATCTTCGAAACATTAAATTACAGATCTCCCCAGATAAAAGTGGGACTGTTCAGGAAGTGCTTGAGAAACACTACTTCTCTCTTGTTTGCTGATATGGAATATAAGTCAGCAATAAAATACTCCAGGGATCACTTACTTCAACAAATCTAGCTTTAACACTAGCTTGAGCTGAACTTGCAATAACAGGCATGCTCTATAATACTACTGCTAATAATGCTAATACCTCTTAAAATAATTTATTATTATTATTAGACAAATGTCAAAAAGTAATAAATAACATTTTTGCACATAATGTTTTACCTTTAAATAATGAAGCAATAATCACAAGAATACAAAAACCGCTATATTGTTTTTTGTTTGAAAGAATTATTATTTTTTTGGTTATTTTTTGGAAAGAATGAAAGCATCAGTTAGTATGTCCCTGCTCCTTGCATCTTGAAGTCACTCTGGCGTGAACGCTAACCCTAACCCTAATGACAGCATAACCCTAACCCTACGTTACAATCTCCCTAGCCTGAGTATGGTGATACCCTGGGTTTTCATGCTTACATGAGGCATTTGCTTTGGTTTTCTGCAGTTCTCCACAGCTGGTACCAGGCACTGCTCTGGTTACCCCAGAAGAGGCTGCACCCCAGAGGACTGTGGGGTCTCCTGGCCCTGACAGCCTACCTGCATGGTGACGTTGTAGGTCTGTGAGGGGTAGCACTCCAGATTCTCGTCCCCACAGCAGCCGGCGCAGCGCCACAGCGGCACGCAGGCGGGGCTGAAGATGTGCTCCACCTCGCTGGGGTACTCCTGCACCACTTCCACCAGTTTCTCGATGGTGCGGCAGAAGCTGCGCCCCCACACCTCCCCGAACAGCATCACTGCAACACAGGGTTGGGGCCACACTGTCAGTCCTGGGGACCCCTGTCTCCCCCTGACGCTGGGCGACCCTGGCAACACGCTGACGCCCAATGAACACGTACTTTTTCTTCACGGTGATAAAGACTTGTGAAAAGAGCAGGAGTAGTACCTCGGAATGCCAATTATAGTGCCCTAAACTCATACTTATTGTTTACAGGACCACTATTTAAAACACGTTTCTAAATCAGAACGTCTCATGTTTATAGAACTGAATATGTTTTCTGTGAATCTGAATTTGGCAAATGTCAGCGGATTTATGCTGGATGTGGGCTATATGCAGACACCGATATGTTAACCACAATGGCTTGTGTGATTGTAAAGACATGTTTTATTTGTAGAGGAAGAACTTGTGTGATATTTAGGTTGTTTTGAAAAAAAAAATCACAATATTATGTAATGTTTTGGGAGTTAGGAGAACAGAAAAATGCTGCGGTTCACAGAATTGTACAAGTAAGTAATAATATCTCAAACCTCATAAAAAAGGGGTTTTAAAAGTATGAATTATGCTGCCAGTTAGGGATCTGACATTGCCAAAAAATATCTCTGCCAAATCCACCCCCCAAAAAATAAAATAAAGCCCTGCGCTGCATGTTGGTGTATATCCTGTTTTGCTTAATAAATCTTGTTTGTGTAATCAGAGCTTTTCCTGTTTCATGTTATGCGTGAAACTGTACTGATATTATCAATATGAAGGGAAAAGAAACAGACTGGCTATGTCTGAAATATATTTGTCAAAACCCAGCAGAGTGGGAATAAAACATGAAAAGCGCAGAAACCATTCTTCTGTAAACATGTCAGTATATGTAACCCACTATAAACCAGCTGCCCTCTCCCACACCCCTGGGGTCGGGCTCTCCCTGTGAGGCTGCAGGTTAGAACAGCCGTTCGGGTAGTTTCACAAGACTTAGAAAAGACCAACAACCACAATTCTTTTTTTGGCAAATTCAAAAGTTCTATATGCCACCACTTCACACTGCATCCTCCCACACAAGTGACCAGGAGGCCATTGTGTTGGTGGGTGCCCTCTCTCTTCTCTTCAGCAGGTGAAACAATCTGAGGCTTGCAGACGGCCACCTTGGGGGCCTCTTCATCACACTTCAGACATTCCAGCTGGCATGCAAACTTTAACTATAACACAAGGTCAAGAAGCAAAGGGAGTTTGGGAATTATTCATCAAATGCGCTTCGCAAGCGGGGAATTTTCACTGAGGCGCACAATCCTCTCAATCCTGGCAAAGGTATGGAGGCTCTAATCTTACAGTGAAACTGACCGGTCCTTGTGCATTCGTGCCCCCTGTGCTCATCAGGTCATCTGTGGCAGAACTGTGAGGATGTACAAGAGGGCGATCTTGAAAAATAAAAGCCTTCTCCACCTGCGAAGCCCATGTGGTGCATAATTCGCAAACAGATTTATGCATGTGCTCTGATGTTTCCAGATTCACCTATTCTCTCTTGTGATTTTACAGCACGCAATGTTTAATGAGGTCAGTGTCACAGACACAGGGAATGACAGCCCCAGAATACAGATGCCAGCTGTTAAGTCAGGGGCAGAAACTGTACAGCAGAGCTCCAGGGATGCTGTCCTTCCCCCAGAAGTTGGGGAAGGAAGACGGAAAAACAAAACACTAGCCTGCTTTTCTTATTAGGAGAATCCCATCCGCTCAAGAAGCGGAAGGAATGTCTTTTTTTCAGTATTGGTACAATGAACTTCACTGTTGTGCATGCAAATTCCAGATTTAAAACACACAGCTAAAGGAGACCTTAATAAAATTCTTCAAACATTCTTTCCCTTGGCCTTAGTCAGACAGAGAAGCATGGCGCCATGCAGTAATATGAAAAACATCAAGCCTGTCAACAGGATATTAGAAAAATAACGAATAAGTGCTTTAATAAAACATTCCTCTCCAAATTTCAACTACGCATGATTTGTTTCTTCTGCAGTGAAATAACATAGGATAAATTAAACAATTCAACAAAAAGCTGACTAAAAATGTGTATAAATGACAGAAGTAATCACAGAAGTTTCACACGTAATTGCAATTCACTGATGAATGACAGATTGAACGAAAGCAATGATGTCAAATCTATTGAAATACATGATAAATGAGTTTATTCTGCTTGTCACTGACCTAAATCCTAGGTGCTACAATAAAGGAAGTATTTCAGAAGTATTTGCTCACCTCCAGAGGTGTTGTTTCCACTGGATGCCGAGGTCTGGAATAAAACAAAAGAGCAGCAGTTCAGATTTCTGGTGGATGGATTCACTGTCATGGTTTACTGTATCAATAGGGTAGTGAGGCAGTTAGAGCTTGTGTCCTGGGTTCAATTCTGGGTTTGGGGTGCCTTCTGTGTGGAGTTCCAGGTCTCCCCTGTCCACGTGGGTTTTCTCCAGCATGCTCTGGATTTCTCCCACATTACAAAGACGCAATTCCCAGTTTGACTGTAGTTTCTAAATTGCCCCCACATACACATGTGTGTGACCTTTAATGGACTAGCGTCCCTCTCAGGGTGTAGTTGCACCTGGCACCTGTTGGATTAGGCTCTGACTCATCCCAGTCCTTTCAGGATGAAGGGGTTAATGAAAACGGATGGATGGATTCACTATTAAAGCTGTAAATATGGGCAGTTTAAAATAATACATGTGATTGCTATAGGCAACAGAAAAAATGATTCATTTGGACAACCAAGATCCGTGTCTTAGAATCACTTGTGGGAGAAAAAGAGGGTTCAGAGAGAGGTCGAAAGTAAAAGGGTCACCTCTTGCGTATTTCCACTGTGTGCTTGACTAATTTCATCCATGAAGACGTCAAGATGTTTTGAGGCAGGTGACTGGTGTGTTTTAGCTTGATACGACACGACATTTGAGTCGCCGAAAACCACATTCCATGTCAGGGCCTTGTGATACTACGCGAGTGACAAACACGTTCTCTAGACAAGCCCCGTCTCTGTCATGTGCAGCTGTGCCCGACTGTGACTTCTGCTGTGGGAAAAGCCCCCCCTAGTGGCAAAGAATCCTGCAGTATTTGGACACAGAGCCTGCCACAGATGGAAGTGAGTTATCTGGCGTGGAAAACGGAGTTTGGAAAGAATCCCTGGCTGTCAACCAGGTCCAGGCTGGGTCATGTATATATTATGTTTCCCCCACCCTACTGCTTAGGTTCAAAAGCTGGTTCCTTTGCTATACATCTTTTATGAATGTATCTTCCCATTTGTGGCTTCCCTTTTTTGTTATTTCCCATGGCAGAATGACAATCTTTTTTTTTTTCTTAAAAAAGCAGAGCACAACAGGAATCCTTGATCCCATAAATGCAGGCAGTGAAATGTCCTCTCAATAAAACGTGATACAAGGGCAGGAAAGCTTACTGAACTGGAGGTAAATGACTTCTTCCAAGTCCTCTCCCAGATTTCCCTGGAAATCCTGTGCTTTTCATGGAGCCCCCTCATGTCAGGAGCCTGTTCAGGCATGTACAGTACAAACCATCAAGCTCTGATGAAATCCCTAGAGGTGTCTTTTAATACATGAAGAGAGGGACATTACCAATGTAACATACAGTATCTACAGCATACGTTGCAGAAATGAACAAGAAACCTCACCCATAAGGACCAGCTCTTGAAAACTTTTCTCAGTGTAGCACGATAAATGATTAAGAGGCAGTTATTCAGTTGCACAGAGCACATTTTTGGCGTTACAGAGAGGAACACGTACATATGTTCTGTAAAAGGTGTTCTGGTGTTCTGAAAGTATAATATTCATTCCCAGATGTGCTCTGGGTATGGTTTAAGAACAAGTCTGCAGTAGTGCTATATTCTGATTCAGACTTCTGGGATGGGGTATCTTCTGGGATGTGCGCAGCTGGTGTGAATGGTTTAGATCCTTGTTCTGTTTGTTTCATGATCGGTCACTGATGCTCTGTGCCACGTTCCCCGCCATTTCCCCTGCAGGGTTCAGTGTGGTTTTGCAAGATTGATGTTTTTATCACCAAAGTGGAGACGCATTCCTGAAGGAATTCTCTAACTGAGCCTAAGCAACCGTTTCTCTTTGATATCAAAGCTCTTTGCAGAGCCACAACGACAGTAGCCTGAAGTGGATTTCACTGTCTGTTTGGGTGCATGCTTAATACACTCATCACTTGCAAGTTCCCAAAGCTTCTCAAATGCGGTTCCAGTCATGAGATGCATGGGACAAAGCTACATTTTACAAGCTGTTGAAAAATGGATGGTATTCTGCGAAACTGGGAGCCTGGAAAAAATAAATCAAGAGGCTCGACTGCGGATTCTTTTCTGGCTGTGAACAAGATCACAAGGAAACAACAGCTGTAATTGCATAACGAGATCCTGAATTGGAAGCTGGCAAGGTCGCCGTATGTGCCTGCAGAGCAACGTTTCGGCATATCTTCACCTCTCATTTCGGGAACGAGCGTTCGGTTCCTGACAGGGGCGGAGCAACAGGCACTGTAGCGTTGTGGTTTGTTATCTTCCTTAAGGGCCTTGCGCGGAGCCGGGCGGCACGCTCGAGAAGCGGCCTGGCTAAGGGTTGGAGACTCTGCTGCGCAGATCAGAGCGCAGCAGATAACCGCAAGCCAGCACAGTGAGTTTGCAGTCAACGACGTTGTCAAGGCACTGCCGAGGCCAGGCTTGTGGGAGGCTTTATCTGCACCTTACCGTTGCCAGGAGGGCCTAGCGCTTTAAAGCATCAAAGGGGGGAAAAGATTGCCATTTCTTTTTTATGGTGGTTTCAGTAACCGCACAGACCTCGCCTCTCAGCATTAGTTCTGCTACCATTCCCATTGTCCACTGCTTTGTGCGCCGGCCCTTTCGGCAGAGCACGGCAGCACAATAGCTCAGAATAAAACTGCATTTCTCACAAGTCGGGCGGTACAACGAAGGGCAGAAAAATGAATTTCTCCCAAATTAGCTCGTCGGGGCAGAGTTAGACGGGCGCTAGCAATTAAATGACGTCAGCCCAGGACAGCAAGAAGGAGACCGTCCTATTCCAAGTGGTGTGTCGAAGCGCAGGAGCGCTGCAGTTCTGTGTCACAGGCCCTCAGGCTTGGCTGTGTTGCCTCTGTTTGGAGTGGCGACTTTAATTGAGAGAAACAGGAAAAAAAAAAAGCTCTAGCTGTCCCTGCCCTTTTCACTCCTTCCGTAACGCGTATTCTTCTTGATCCAGCGGCGGCCCACTTATACTTGTCTAAATAAAACTTTTTTTTTTTGCTTGATGATATGAAACATCCCCCCCTCTTTCCCCAACCCCCCCCCCACACACACACACACAAACACACATCTTCCTCTACAAGTTCCTGAAACCTCTTCCAGCAGCAGGCAGTTCCAGCAGTCTTTTCTCTCCGGAAATCCGGGCACCGGTCCAACTTGGGTCTCAGGCGCAGTAAGATCGGTGGTTTCCATTAAACCCTCAGCACATAGTAGACCACATCACAGAAGGCATTCACCCTGCTCTTCCAGCCACCCTTCCACATGAGGGAAAACTCCGAGAGACTGAGGCCAGGCCGGCGACCGTCTCTGGCGGAATTAACCCCCAGCATTTAGCACCTCCGGCTGGCGGCCCGGCAGAGAGAAGCCGCTGTCTGGTTCCCGCGCTCGGTGTGCCAGCGGGGCCGTGTGAGGAGACTCATGCAGCCCCTCCCCGCAGCCTCGCGAGCTCCATCCATTCATGCCCGCCGCCCGCTACCCTGCTCCCGCGCTGCGATTCAGTGAGGGGGGGGGAGGATAAGGACAAGAAAGGGGAGTGGGGTCGGGATCGTGGGCGCCGCGCCTCCAGACGTGACATTGTTCAACGGTGACTGAGACGATGTTTATCCCAGACAGACTTCCCTGGGATTCATCTATTCCGCAGGAAAGCCATCCCACTCGGCTTCTCTTTCTGAGGAGGGGGAGTGAGCATTCCACATTGTGAACTCCCCCGGATGAGGGCCCATTCATGCCGACTAGTTAACATTCTGCAAGTATAGTCTAGATCACGCCCGATGGCTCAGTGTGGATGTGCCCCTGAGTTTCATGAGTGCACCAAGCCGCACGAAGAATGCTCATCCTGAATTTTGGGACATTGTTCTGTAAGGCAAGGGAACAAATTGGCACTTCCTCTCAGTCTTTCTCATTTTCTTAGTAGGTGCTTCAAAGGAGAACGCATGTTTCTGCAGTTAAGTGGGGGTGAAGGCTGTATGCATGGGGGGGTGGATGGGTGTTCGGACATCAGGGCATGCAGCTGCTTCATTTTAAAATTATACAGCTTCATAAAAGAACACAAGAACAAGCACATGGCGACAGAGCAGAGTACTGTATGTTCACTGCTGTAATGAGGTTTTTGACTTGGAAAACATGTCAAATATAAGATCAATTACTGGCTACATTCTCCATTCATGCTTTCATTAATGCTGGGGCAATGTGCTCCCCCATCAGTTGTGCTGTCTGAGAAAGCCCCCCTCCCACCTCATCAGAAGGCAGGGAGAGGTTAACAGTGGCAGAGGTCCCTGTTCAGTGTGGGATCCTTTACACATTCCTGCAAGGCAAGCTTGTTGAATTTGCTCTGGCAGATTTATGTGTCGAGACTCATTTAATAAAATGAGCTTACATAACAGCGTAAACATGTATTCCCAGGACAGATAAGCTGTCTGCATTGTGTGATTACATGACATGTTTCTGGAAGGCAAACGTTTTGTACAATTTCCTTTAGAGACCAATTTTTGTTTTATTAAAAAAGACCTCTTATTTTGCCCAACATATTGCATTATGTGGCAATTTATTTTTAATTTGCCAGTCTGATTTCTTCATCCTAGGTAACTAGGAACAACAAGCATTGTAATGAACAAAGCCACTATAATAAATGTGTACAGTATCTAAGCACAAGATACGTTTCTCAAACAATCCAAATTTTTAAACTGACTGACAATGTTCAAGTTCATCTGCTTTGTCAGATTAATAACTTTTTCCACTTGTTTGTTTTTCTTTTTTTAGCCAGTAAGTTGGCCAGATGGTTTATTTGATGAGCAATGGGAGACGATAAAAGGTCAATGACTGGAAAATGGAGTGTAACATCCACAGAGGCAGGTAGAGTGCAGTCAGGTATGACTGGCTGTCATGTCATTGAGCTGCTTCTTTTGAAAGGTACTGTATCTAAGGAGCGTTCTCATTAGAGTGCCTGTTTGTGACCCAATAAAGTTGATTGTTACTATTTTCAATGCTCTTCTTCCTTACAG